TTACTTCGGGATCATCTTCTCCTTCGAGCCACGCCGCCTGCTACCTGACAAGCATCGTACTCAGTCGATCTCACCGTTTTTCTGGGCGCACAACACCAACATCCACGCTGCCATCAACATCCTGCAGGATGAGGAGCTCGCCCGACCTTCGAAATGGCTGATGCAGCCACCTCCCAATCACGATTACATCGGATGGGTTTCTACTGCAGAGGCAGCCTTGTGTCTCATGACGCAGCGGTGAAAGCAGCAGCCCAATTCGCAGGAGTGCGCAGTGACCGGCCCATCTGCGTAGGAGGAGCGGCAAGACTGCGCCAGCCCCACTGCACGATTCCGCGCGGAGGCACTTACGCTGATATTGCAGCTTCCCACTACTATGATTGCATTCATGCCAAAGATGGCAGGTGGAAACTTCGTTCATCCATTGCGGTTCCTAACTACTTGGGGATGTTCTGGTGAATGTCTTCGGCAATGCGATCCAGTACCATTTCCTTGCACTACCCCTCCGCGGTTTGTGTCAACGTTTTCGTGGTATCCATCATGACGCTCTTCTTCCGGAAAAGGTGTTGTTGCATGCTTTTGGATTGCTGCGACTTGTTGCTTGTTTGCCTCTTAGTTTGATGTTTCCGCAGTTTGGGTTTGCTACTGATCGGACCACTCCATCATTGCCTGCCGTATCCTGCGCTGTCATGGATCATGGGGACCTTTTACGAGAATGTCGGCTCATGCTGCACTCTATCTCGTCGCAGATCAGTATCCTGGTGGCCGGACTACAACGTCTTGAGGGTCAACAACGGCATCCACAACCGCCGCTTCCACCTGCGGCGCCTGGCGGGCAACCACCACTACCGCCTCCATCGACACCGGCACCTGCATCCCCGAAAGCCTCATCGGTGAGACCACCTCACCCAACAGTGCCCATCACGCTGGTGGCCACTTCCACCAACCGGATGGACCCGGCCGATCTCATTGAGCCGGTGAGTGACAGCGCTTCCAGGGAGCACAGCCGGAGAAGAAGGTCCAGACACCGTGACTTGCATCGACGTCGGTCTCGAAGCCGTAGTCATCGCAGACGACCGCTTGGCCGTCGTGCGCGACCTATTCTTGCTTCGGACCATCGCATTGCCGTGCCGAAGCCACCCCCTGCAGTCAAGGCCATGCCGGCGTGTCGACCATCTGGCCCATCATATGGACCAGCGGCAAAAGGTTCTCAGCCTACGGATTTGCACCAGTGCATGCCAGCATGAGTTGTCTGTGTAGATTCGCAGCCCTTCTTGCTTGTGTTGCCCTTGCTGTGATTTCACTTGCCATGTGGCTGTCTACAGAGTTCGTGAATAACCTGGTGGCGGTGCTCAACGTCCTCGCCTCCCAAGTTGCCACTGCCCTGGACACCCTGAACTTTGCCCTGGCGGCAGATCGAAATCAGGAATCAGATCCCCGGATGCCTCCCAGAGCACCACGTAATTCAAGACATGGACTGCGCCCACGCATCATCACGGAGCGCATCTCGTCAGATCGGTCTCCCACCTGCACCAGAACTTGGCCTGTGGATACTTCTTCTACCTGGTATATACCTGCACTATCACCTCCTCGTGAAGCACGTCGTGAAGCTCCAGGAGGCAACCCTGGTCAACGTCCAGAGACTCTGGTGGACCGGTTACCACCGCCAAGACCTCTCGCTCCCAATGCCGCACGCAATGATCGTGCGCCGGGGCACGCTTCGTCTACTACGCCTGATTCGGATTCGGACGGTTCAGTCCGTCCACATCCCGGTGCTTCATCGTTCCGTCCATCGCCGACGGTGGTCCATGGACCTCGTGAACTTCTACAGGAATTCACTATTGCCCTCCGCAATGAATATCTCGAACCATTCACGGCATGGACACAGGGTGAGCTGGATGAGATGGTCAGACGCAAAAAGGACAAGGATTCCAGGCCCACCTACAAGACTATCGCTCGTTTGCTTCAGAAACCCATCGAGGAAGTCAAGCAGGCATGGAAGGTCTACCAGCGACTTGAGGCTTGCGGTTAGATGACTTTGCAATATTGGAGCCGTCAAAATTCCTTTCGAGTGGTGGTGCATTGCGTTGACCTTGCAGTTGTCTTGCCTTGTCTTGCGGACATGAGTGTTCAAATCATGCTGGAGCAAAATGTGCAGACATTCATAACTTGGACCCATGGAACGCAGCCGACGTGGTTACAGTATCACGGACCAAACTACCCGGCGGGTACATTGCTCGACAGACCACCTCGATTGACGGCACCACCACCACCTCCACCACAGTTGGTGTCCCACGTCCGTCCATTGGATCGACGGATTTCGTGAATGACGGAATTTCGTCCTCGTCGGTGTCTTCAGTTCCTGATGGCGCGTGGCGGGAACCTTCACCCCCGCCGAGCTATGATCCCAATTTTGATTGGAACGAGTCTGATTGATGCGTGAACAACATGTTGGTTAAAGCACTGCGCTTGTTGAGTCAGGTTGCTTGAGTACTTTTACTACGGCCTTTGGATTTCTTGCTTTCATGTCAAAGATGTTGGAAACACGCGGGGACACTGAGCCTTGTGAGTGCAAACGCTGTCTGATTCGCTTGCTGCTTGTGCTTGGGTTGCCTTGTCTTGTGTTGTGTGATCTCCATATCCATGTTGTCGCCGCTCAAAGCGGCTTATTCGGTTGGTATGTTCAATTCGACAATATTTGGCACTGACAGATGGTCCCTGCCGCGCTACTTTGAGTACGACCTCGTGAATGGACCTGCAAGATTGTCCTCTTCGTTGGCATCCTCGAACTCTGTGGCTGACGTCCGTCCTCGTTTTTCCATGATCTTCAATTTGATTGGGGCGAGTGGCATCGACACCTGAGTCGCGTCTGGCCACAAACCATGGTGTTCGGCGCTGCACATGCTGTGAGTACTGGATTGAGTGTCTTGCGTTTGCTTGGCATGTTTGTTGATGCGTCGCATGAAGTGCTTGTTGTCTGCAGCTGTATAACTCTCGGTTGTGCGTCTAGGTTTTGAGTTGTCATGCCGTGGCTGGAGTGGTGCCCGGATCCTCAACAACCAGACGCTCAATCGGTCAAGATTTTTCATCCGGGATCATGGACACCACAAGATGAACGCGATGATCCGCCTCCGCGCCACACATACAGGGAGTGGAAGGAGTTCTATGCCCCAAACCTGGCTCATGACGAAGACCAGCCCACCAGGCGCACTTGGTACAAGAGGGACTGGACCACTGAGGGCTACCGGCGTGTTGCTGCTCCTGAAGCTGTTCAAGACTTCAATTCGATGTTTCCTCATCAACATAGCGTGGCCACGCAATCTTCGGCTCTGAGTATGACACCGCAGATGTTGAGTGCGATTCTCCGATCTTCGGATGCTTCTGAATTCTCTGTTGAAGATCTTACTCGTCTTCAGGCTGGGATCTGTCAGCAACTGTCAGAACGCGCGCGTCAAGCGTCCCACCATCCAGCACATGTATCTCGTGGAGTTGCACCACCCGAATCTATTGGGGTCGCTGATCTAAATCCAGCTGCGGGTCAATCAGGCAGCTCTACCAACAAGGCGCAGCCCATCTTCGAGCTAGGTGACGTATAAACCGATGCATCTTGATCATGACATGAAAGAGTGTCACCTTTGCTCTTGCTTACTTGTGTGTTGGCCGGTTGTGCATGGTTGTGCATTGTGACTGTTTCCTCGCCAGCTGGATCAGAGCCTGCGGTACGCCCTGTCCTTTACTTCAGCATGGACACAGATGATGTGACTCAAACGTCGGCCAGAACTGACGAGCAGCACCCTTGGCTCGAATACTCCGTCTGGCAGGACCAGGAGTGGATGCGGATCTACACTCCGGGTCAACTTCAACTGTGGCACCCAGATGAGGCAATACCCGCGCTACCTGAGAACTCGTTTCGGGAGTGGAAACGGGTAACTGAGCATGTTGACGGAACTGGTGAATCCAGTCAAGCATGGACAATTCGTGACTGGCAACATCAAGGTTATCAACGGATTCTGTCTCGCTTGGAGTCCTTCTCCACCCATCATGACCCTGATCCATCACTTGCTGATGTACAACATCCGGACATCATCCGGGTCGAAGAGATGTTCACCTATGCCCCTCCCATTTCTGACGGTGATCGCCCGACAGTGCAGCTTCGCCTGTCTTCTATGGCGGCGCACGTCTTGCTCATCTTGGAGATCTTTCGTCCCCGTCTTCTGAGCGGCCTCGTGCGGAGCGTGCAGTTTCGCGCTCTCCCCGACGCAGTGGATATTTTGGTAGACGTTAGAATTGATGAGCCAATTGCGTGATCTTCCGGCTGGAACAAAAGATTTTCGCCCCTCACTGAGGGGCGTGTGTGTGCGGAGTGGCAGAAAACCCTGCCACCATACAAAACTTTTCCCACTGCAGGGGGTGGCAGCAGGGCCCGAGAGTCTGCCACCAACGAAGACACTCTCGTGACCCTGGTGAAGCAGTTGGAGACGTCCAGCTGTGTACCTGCAATGGTTGTGCAAAGTCTTTTTGGCCCGTTGTTTCTCTCGCTGTGTGTGCTTCATGTTGAACCTTGTAACGTTTTCGACACTAGAGGGAAACCGAGTGCATTGCGAGCCGAAACTTATTCATGCAGAACCTTATCCAAGCCGAGACTTACCAGTTGTACTCGAAAGATTAGAACCCTCCATCTGGAGTCTAAGTGTGTGTGTGTGCGCGCGTGTGTGCGTGTGTGCGTTGTGTGGGTGTGTGGGTACGTGGGTGCGTGTTTGTGAGTGCGCGTGTGGATGGGTGGGGGTGCGTGTGTGTGTGTGTGTGGTGTGTGTGTGTGCGCGTGCGTGCGTGCGTGCGTGTGTGTGTGTGTGGGTGGGTGGGTGGGTGGGTGTGGGTGCGTGTGTGGGCGCGTGTGTGTCTGCGTGTGTGTGTGTGTGCGCGTGCCTGGGTGCTTGCGTGTACCCGCACGAGTAGCCTTCCTGACACATGCAAAATGTCAGGCAGGGATTTTAGCTACTGAGGTTGACAACGTGAGGACGGCCATTGAGGATCCCAAGATGGACATTGATGCAAACACGAGGACACCTCTAACAATGCCGAACCACACACACGCGCACATTTGCATGCTTCCCCAAGAAGTGATTCGCTTTAGAACCGAGTCGCGGTGTCTACTCTCCAAGATGACATGTTTCGTTTGTCCTCGAACGGCTCCCGCCGGTAGGACTCTTGCTTGGCAAAGTCTGGCTGGTCTCATTTGGTGGCATAGGGTGTGAAATTCGCGCAGGAGCTTGCTGCAGAAGCTTCTGGGTGCCTTGGCTTGGACTCAGGCCGTCAGTTGCGAAGTGTCGAAGCATGGTTTCGTGCCCAAGTTGCGCTCGAGGCTTTGACAACATACCGCGGAAGGAGAAGGCTTTCTACAACTTCGCAAGGAACTCAACGATTCCAACTGGGCCGCCCAGTCCGAGCATCCATGCCTGGTGATCTCCAGGTGAAGAACTCCCTGAAGATCTGGGATGACGGCAAGCGGATGCCTCAGCCGCGTGCTTCGCATGCCTCCAAGGAGGCAGTGGCATGTGCATTTCAGGGAGAACCAGTCCGTTTTCGCGAGGATCGGCGCGATGTGGAAAGTTGTGGCTGCGAACTCTAAGCCAGCTGGACACCGTGCCAGTTCTGAGGCTTTGTTGGTCAAGGCAATGGCATGCACTCTTGGTTGCGAAGACTGGGTGCACACTGAGTCCATGGCCTTGCAGGACAGGCTCAGGCCAAACCCAACAATGGGACGAACGGTACAAGTGCATCAGCCTGAGTGCAAAAAGTCCGGGAATGATCTTCTCTTTCCCAGTGGTGCGAGATCTTTTTTCCAAGTCGCAGTGAGCACGGCGCACTGTGCGCACGGCGCACTGTGCGCACGGCGTCGGGATGCTGCACTGAGGCCAAGACCTGGCCAGGCTGTACCCTTTCGCTTCGCTTGAGCTCGCCTTCTTCCTTCCCCGTTTCATTCATTGAGTCGTTGTGACTCTTCGAGCCTTGAGATTGCTTTTTTGCTGCCCGTCGTTTCATCAATGTGCGAAGTCACGCAGATGAGCAGGTCCCTGAGAAGCACCATTGCAAGCCGGAGATAAGTGCCCAGCGGCGGGCTTCAATATGACTGGTTTCCTTTCGTTTCTGTCAGCTGTCAATAACATCGAATTTCAGGACAGTTGATCCGTTTGGGGTTAATTCCCGTTTTGTATATTCCTGCAGCCCAGTCTGCCGAAACGCTGGATTCCCAAGCTGGGCTGATGCGACAACATCTAACCTCTGTTTGAAGCCTCAATATGATCATGTCTCAAGGAAGACTTGATGGTTTTGTGAAAGACAGTTCGGCCGTGAAATGAACGCCAAACAGACGGAGGCACAGAAAAGGAGCAAAGAAACGTTGAACAGGATTTCCTCCATTCCCCTTTTTGGGACCTTGGAAACCACCAGTCAACTGCAACCTACGGGGACATTCCGTGACCGCAGTTGAAGGGCGACGTCTGGTTCCACCGCGCCAGGCTGGAAGCGTGCCGTCGAGGACGAGCTGCGGGAGGGTGCGATGCCCTGGAAGCGGCTGCCGGCAGCCCAGTCGAGATGGACATTGCGGCAATCGAAAAGCAAGACATAACAGGACACACACAAAATATAGTAAACATATATGTGAGATATCTGCACACATATATATATATATATATATAGATAGGAACACACATTCACAGCCCCCTCTCGCTCCTCCCAATCGCTCCCCACGCCCCCCCTTGGGCCTGGGGTGGGGACCTGGAACGTACAGGGTCTCGTGAGCCTTGTGGAGAAGCCCCCGAGCCCGACAACCTACATCCTGCACCAGCCCACCTGTAGCCCTGAACCCGCACCCGGAAACCCATCCGAAAGCAACCTCAAACCCACTCGAAACCCACCTAAACTCAACCCAAAGCCCGCCTACATTAACCCTAAACCCCCACCTTGGCCAATCTACACCAACCCAAACACCCAAAACCCACCCCAAATCAACCTGCAACAAAGCCTGCTGTGAACCAACCATGAACCAGCCCCAAACCCATATTGGCCCCAAAACAAATCCGAGATGAACCACCGCGGTTCACACACACGCACACCCACGTACACATGTATATATATATAATATACATATAGGTACACATGTACATGTTCTGTACAAAGTGACAAGGAACGATCATGTATTCTTTGTAGGTCTTACACAGCTCTCACAGCTCTCACAACTGCCAGCCCGCTTTTGGACCTCTAAGGTGCACGCGCCTGGTGGCGCGGTACCGCGACACTGGAAACAAGGGCTCGGAGGAGGAGCTGGAGCTGCAGGCGAGAGAACCGGGTTGGGGGGCCTTGAGGGGCTTTGGGTGTGGGGTTGGAGCCGACTCGAGCGACATGGATTCTTGCATTCTTGTTTTTGCGGGATGACATTAACAACTTGCAGCGTGAGTGTCCTGACGATGTCTTGCATCAGGATCTCGGAGTCCCAGCAGCTGCCGCTCAGCCCATAATACCCTTTTCCAGCCCCAGGCTTATTAAGAGGGACGCAAAAACTAATAATATTCTACTTGATCCAGCCAAATATACGCAAATGCCCCGAACGATTCTTTCAACATCCTCATGCAGAAACAGTACTTTTCCCCTTTTTTTCAAGGGGAGGACAGTTTTTCTTCCTAGCACCTTGGCTCAGTTGGCAGGTTGGCGGGTTGGTCCGTGGGCTGATTGGTTGATCGGTTGGTGGTTGGTCGGTCCGTCGACTTTGGCGTGTTGTGTGGGGTGGTTGGGTTTGGCTGGCTGGTTGCTGGCAGCAGGAAAAATGGTGAAGTTGGTACATCGCATGGAAATTAATGCAGAAGGTTTTGGGGCTGTCTTAGGACGTTGGTGAGGGTCGGTTGGTTTGGCTTTCCTTGAGAGTCGGCTGGGGCTTGGCGTAGTTGGTTTTGGGATGCAATTGGGCAGAGGCAAGGCAGGGAAAGGAGGCATGGCCAAGCAAAAGACACCCTTCACACAGGGAGTGCGGACAAGGATGAACGTGGAAGACCGGCCTGCCTGCAAAATGTGTAAAGCATTTCTCCTGAGGAACAGATTCGTCATCAGGGGGGGGTACGTATGTTTATTGATAGTCATTGTCTTCTGAGTTGACATGGGATGCGCAAACAGGTTGCGGCATAGGCTACAGAGGCGTGCCTGGGTGCCGCGTTGCGCGCTCCCGCAGGCCTTGAGCAACATTCCAGAGGGCCGCCCTGGCTGCTTTGAAGTTCGCACTCCGGGCTCGGGCTCTGGCTGCTCTGGCTTGGCTGAAGCTCTGTACGTCAAGATTCAAGCAGTCGGGGATGTGGTGTTCGCCTAGAATGTTGCTGTTCCCTGCGCAGAATACTGCTCTGACAAAGACCCGACAGTCCAGAGCTCAGTTTTGCCCGAGGTGCTAAGGTGTGGACCCGCAACCCCAATGGTGCAATTCCTTTCAGCCAGGCATGACCGGGGTGGAGGTTTCTGCTCACCAGTTCCTGTCCCATTCCACCTGTTGCAAGAAGCGAATCTCTTGTAGATCAAGATGCTGAGGTCAAGCTCATGAAGTGATGCTTCAAAAGGTAGGCTGGGTCGCGCCCGTTTTGTGAGTACTTGCCGTGGAGAAATAAGCCCAACGCAGAGTCTTTGCAGCGCAAATCTGGCATGGCTTGTTGGGGGAACCAATAATCCATCCTCGGTTTGCTGGTTGCGAAGATTTGGACCTGAGGCGGAGTGCGGAGGTTTCTGCACGCGCCGTTTTCAGCGGAGCAAAACAGGAGCAGCAAAAGGGCCTCATGCTCTATTGTTCACATGTCGCGCGGTCGAAACAGGGGCTTTACTTGAGGCATGGGCCACAATTGCGACTGAATTGAGCCCGCCTGGATTTTCATGCACCAGGCAGACAGAGACAGACGCAACTATTCCGGACAACAAGAGGCGGATTACTTTTCTGTTTGCGCAATGGGATGGGATCATTTGGCAGCTATGACCCTAAGGTATGGTCTTGCTTTTTGGCAGGAGCATCCCTTTATCCTTTGACTCAATGCAATTCGGTTGAATTAGGTCTTCTCAAGCTTTCACATCTTGACAGTTTACGCTGTTCTTGCTGTGGAGCTGTTGGATCAAGCGCGACACAATGGGGCAGCGAAGATGATACTTGATGCGTGGGTGATATGAACCCCCCCTCTCCCTGTCATTCCAGTCAGTTATGCAGCTGTGAGCGAATGGGGCGGGGTACCTTTTGCTCGTCATAGCTTCAACAATTGACCAGTCAGTCTCACATCAAAACTGGACAGACACTTGCAAGATGTGACCGCTGTATGTCGCAGTGCAATGTCGGTGGGCCTTTTCCTCAGCTCCGCAAACCGAGTTGCTGAAATCCTTATGACATTGCAGAACGTTCACAGTGGATCACACAAGCATACAGGTCTTTCCGAATGATCTCATTTTGATTGTTTGTGGCCATTGTCCTGCAGAACACCCCTTGTGGTGTACGTGGGCCCTCTCAGGTCTGAAAGCAGTCCGATTGACCACGTTGCCCAGCCCCCGGCTTCCACTCGCTGAGCCGACCCACGCAGACCGATCTCGTAGGCTGCGTAACTTCGGGCTGTGCCCCGTGGAAGTCTCCAAGCAGGACGTGAGGGGAAGATTGGCATAACAGGGACCCTTTGGTGTCAAAAGGAAGCCAACCACCCACGACCATCCGAGAAAAACATAGGTTATTTGACTCGTTGCATCGCTTTGCGCAATCCAACAGCGCTGGCAGGGGCGGATGCTTGCCCTGCTTGAGGAGGGCAAATCTGCGATCTTGTCCCTGCGGGCTGCCTACAGGGAGAGGGCGAAGGCGGGCCAAGAGTTGGCAGTAAGGGCTCCTCAGAAACGGCTTTTGAAGAACAGCTGGAGACCCCCTGGTTTTGGCACATTCCCAGATGTGTTTGACTTTCCACGTTGGCAACCCTACCTGTACTTTTTAAGGCCGTGCCACATGTCCAGCTTTCTTACGACAGCAACCATCAGGCCCTACTAGCTCGCCCCAATGTGAGAGTTGCCCTTGGCCGAGGTGCATCATCCTGACTTGATGCCGCAGGAGAAGAAGGCGGAAGCCGAGGTGCATTTCAGCAAGCTGAGCACGGAGTTTCACGAGGCCGGGGGACTCCAAGGAACACTCAGAGATCTCGTGGATCGTTGGCCCAGAGCGGATCTCTGAACCCCAAGAGCTACAGTGGCTCAAGGAGCACGAGCGTGCCTGAGCGTGCCTGAGCGTGCCTGTCCTCCGTCATGAAGCGCCCCTGCACACAAGCTTCTGTCTCTGCGAAGAGACCCGCTCATTCTGCGGTCAATTTTTTCCTTCTGTTAAGTTCAAGCCAAGGCCAGGGGTGAAGCAGCCGGGCAGTCCCGAAAGCTGCATGAAAGTCCGCTTCTGCACGGACTCCGGTGATTTCAGTGGGCCTTTCGAGCAGAACTTGGGCAACAATAAGTTGGAGGAGGATTTCACCACACATTGGAATACAGAGCTACGCTGCCGCCACATGGACTTGCACGACACCTTGCCAGCCGAACGCCTTCAGGACAAGACAGACGACGACTTTCTTGTCATTGCCAAGGCCAAGTTCTGGGTGGTGCACGTGAGCCGTCTTCACAACTTTGGGGACACACTGTACGCACTTGATGCGCCTGGGCTGTGTGGGCTTCAAACACCAAGGCGGTATCGGCGATGGTGGTTTGAACGAAAGCCCCGGCAACATAGTCTGCGTCACTGACGTCGACCTTTGCGACCGGGAATACTTCGGGGGGCATGGCTATGGGCGTGGACCTAGTACAACGCATTTTGGACAACTTCGCATGTTCCTGCGACACGCGCGTGGTCATCAAACCACGGTTGCCGCAGTGGCAGAGCTTCCTCGGACACCACAACTGTGCAAAGCCCGAAAGGGCATTGTTTGAAAGCGATCTGAAGAAGCAGCGCAGCCTTTGGACGGCCATGGGCTTCAAGCGCGTACTATGGCCGCCGTCCGGCCTTGCAGCACCCCCCACATGCGGCGGTTCTGCAAGTTTGCTCGTGCATCCGAAGTCTGAGGGAGCCCAGTACAAGGAGCTCAGCCTGGAAGAAGATATTGTCTTCTTCGTGCAGGCTGAATACAAGAACTACGAAAAGCAGCAGTCGGTGCTCGAGTTTATTGCATTCTTGCTGCCAGTAAGGGGTGAGTATTCTACTTCGTTTGCACTTCTCCAATTTTGCCTCACGTCTGTGCTGCCCCCTTCGCAGCATGCTCTGCCTTTTTGAGAGAAAGGTCTTTATTTTTTATTGTGGAAATCCTGTTCTTCAACAATCCTTTTGCGAGGTCATGCGACACATGCAGAGAACTTAACGTTGGAAGTCACATTTCCAGCAACATCAAGACTGGCACCTCATCGCATCCTTCGGGCCAGGCAGTCAAACTTCTTGAGGCAGGCGCGCGGCCCCTGAAGGGTATTGCAAAATGGTCGCCGCTTCGTTTTAAGAGCCCGATTTCGGTTTGCAGTCATCAACTTGCTCCATCTGCAATGCCAAGATGATCCGTGTTTTCCAAAACTCTGACCCCATTTGAACTAGAGCTGCATGTCTCCCACTTGCGGTGGGGCAAGCCAGGGGCCTGCCAAGGTGAGGCCGGTGATGGCTGGCAAGATTGCCCAAGCAGGCGCGGGACAGGAACGCTGCCCCGAAACTGCCGGCAAATTCTGAATGTCAAAGCTAAAACAAAAGCGACACCAATGTGAGCTAAGCACCATCGGAAGTTCTTGATGGATGCCTTGGCCAGCCCTGCTTTCATGACGCTCTGCTCTTGTGGTTCCTGCTTCAACCATGCGCCAAGACCACAGAGACGAAAGCTGCCCAATGACCCAGGCCACTATCCTGGCGGCACTCCCGCTTTCAGGCGGGGGTGAATGCCGTAAATCGCCCGCATGGCAGTCCGTGTCTTTGTGCCCAGGACAGGCGAGGTGTGGCAGCGGAACAAGACATTCAAGCCATGGCCTCAGAGCCCAACTCAACGCATGTTGCCACAAATGTTGAAGCAAGGAGATTCCGTTTCCTTCATCAATCGTGGTGTAGACCAAACTTGACGCAAGTTGCTGGCCCAAGCCTGCTGATTGCTGTCCACGGCCTTGTTTTCTCTTGCGCGGAACGAACCGCCTGTCGCAGGCATTCCGAGCCCGAGCAGTTTGACACCTACACCAGGGCTTGGCCCCCGAGAAAGACAGGCTAGGGAGAGAGGGGGAGAGATATTCTGCCCTTGATTTGACCACCACTCTGGTTTTGGAATTCTGAAGCTCTTCCGCTTACTGTCCAATTGCCGGAAGACTCCAGGACGTCATCAACCACTATTGAGAAAGAGTGTTGTGTGACTGTTCAATCAGACAGGCTACATATCAGTGTGTTTAAAGAGACCAGCGGTCCCGCTTACCCACTCACTCGAGCTGACCAGCAGCATTAGGATAGGTAGGATGTTCGCGTTGGTTCTCGTTCGCATAAATAGATTCTTACCAATTCTCCTCTTTCTGAGGTTGCTCTTTTCAAGGTGTCCTCAGAAGTCTGCAGGGAGACCTGTTTAGGGGTGCATGTCTTGTGTCCTGGCCGAGGTCAAAGGTCACCTCATCGTTTGGAGCAGCCTCTTCGTGTTCCTGACTTTGATGAGGCGCGTGAAATCAGCTTGCCACTGTTCCCCAAGCGGCACCTGCCCTGGCACGAAGGGATTTTCAATGGCACGGTTCCCTTCGTAAGTGCAACATGTAAGGAGCAACTTGCACAGATCACGCACACTTAGGAACTTCAAAGCACTCCGCCCATGTTCCCGACATGTTGTGGCAATCAAAACCTGGGTAGATGAAAGGTAGTCAATTTCCAACCGTACATAGATGCGGCCGCCCTTTCAATTGGTTGCATGCTTTTTGGTACCGCATTCTATTGTGACTCACCTTTTGGCAAGTTGCGAAGCAACGTTACACAACAAACACGTGAGAGTCCAGAGAGCCGTGGTTGCCTGGTTTCGTGGTCTCAGGGAGTTCCTGGTTGGCTTCGCGGGCAGCACCTGGGCCTACAAATCGCCCTCCAACATCAACCCGTTTTGGGTGCCCGGCGGCCCAGTCCAGAACAGGCGAGCGTGTGTCTTCCAGGCTGAGGGTGCCGTTGCGCAAGAGGTCTCTGGTCTCTGAATGCATGGATGGGACCATTGCTATTGCTTTACACCGGCTGTTTGGTTGCAACTTGCCATTGCGCAGGCGGCGCTATGGAGCGGGGCCAGCTCAGGCCAGGAGTGCCCAGATTGGGCGGTTGACTGCGGTGCCTCAAGCGCTAGGGCAAGGACGAGGAGGATGCGCCGCCGCCGGACGCGCAGGGTCAGCAGCCTCGGACGTTCAAAGTGTAGGCAAAAGGATGCCAAGTGAAACTCACTGCAGTTCATCCTGGGATTGGAGTTTAGACCGAAGCCAACTGGAGGTAAGTGGCCAGGTTGGTGAGCAGTTGGACTGGGGTGACACGTGAAGGCGAGGCACGATTTCTGCTTGCTTTCGCACTCAGGGGCCAAGTCTGCGCGGCAAAAGAGTGACAGCGCTGCCAAAGACCGGGGTGTGCCGCCACCCTGCCACGTTACTTCGGAATGAGAGAGAAGGGGAAGGAGCGGGGGAGGGACATTTTGCGGGAGGTCGGGTGGGCTTTTCCAACCGTGTTTTCGCGGTGATGAAATCAACAGGTGGGGGCTTGTGCCCCAAGTTTAGCGGCATCAGGCAACAGGGGGAAGAGGGTGCGCTGCCAGGACTTTCTATCAGAAGAGGGGCATCAGCAACGTCCGGAAGAACTACTCTCCGAGAGGCCCCGAGCTTGACGATTTGGTGCTTGAAGCTCCGTTCTTGCAAGTGGGTCTTCAAGAGAAGCCTCGGCGAAAGGAAAGCCTGGGGTTTTCTTCTCTCTTCTCTTTTCTCTCCTCTCTAGTCTTTCTTCTCCCTTCTCTAGTCCAACCGCCTTCTCCTTTCGCTCAGTTATCCCGGTCTTTGTTCATTCCCTTATTTCTTTCTGGCCCTCATCATATTTTTGCTCCCCAGCGCAACTTGCAAGGTCACGGGCCGAGCTTGTGACGTGGGAAGCCTCGGAGGTGGAGCCTCGCCCTTGCCAAGTCGCCGCATCGCCGTATTTGCTTCCAACATGAAACAAGACCTCAGCGCCTGAGGCCCCATGCCATGGCCAACATGAAGACATTTATCCCAAGAACTGTATAAGGGCGAACTTGTACAATACTCCCAGGATGTTTCTATGAAGTCCAACACACCAACATGCAAGTTTTCACTTCGGAGTGCTTGCTTTCAATCATCTGCGGGCGAACTGTCCAAGTGGCATGAGGCATGTCCTCGCCCTACAACCTGAGAGGGCCACAGATATTGTACAAAGTGGAACCTCAGGCAAGGTTTTCTCCTTCAACAGAACATGTTTCAGCTTCTTTTCCTCATCCAACTGCATGTTGCAAAACACAAATGCAAGAGGCGCGCTATGGCGGGAAATTGGTTGATCGCCTCGCCTGAGCTGCATTCCATGTGTGGTGCTTGCTGTCAAAGCTGTTTTTCGTCCGCTCCTGCTTTCTCAATTGGCTGCTGATACTGTCACCACCTGGCCACGAAAGAAACGTGCACATGCCTTGTGCCTGGGAATGCTTGCTTTCAGCCGTGGCTGACAACGGGGCCGTGCCTGCTTTGGATGGGTTTGGCTTTCGCATTTGCCGCAGTTTCGGCTCAGTCCGTCGGCAACGAAGCTCCTGAGACGGCTTTCGCCTCGGCGCTTGGCACGCGGTGCCGCATGATTTGGCGGGGAGTTGCTTTTGTGCCAGCCATCAGACGAAATAGGAGTAACCCCAAGGACCATAAACATGCTGGCAATTCACAAAGTGGCAAGCAATCTTCGCTCAACAGTCTTAACACGAAGTTGATGGAGACTCCTTAAAGAAAACAATCAAGCAAACAAAACACACAACCAAACAAGCAAGCAAGCAAACAAGCTAACATACCAACCAACGAACCAACAAACCAACATCAATCAATCAATCAATCAATCAATCAATCAATCAATCAATCAAGCAATCAAACAAACAAACAAACAAATCAATAATCAAACAAACAACCAACCAACTAGTTAATCAATCAATCAGTGAATCAATGAAACAATAAATCAATGACTCAATGAATGAATGAATGAATGAATGAATGAATGAATGAATGAATGAATGAATGAATGAATGAATGAATGAATGAATGAATGAATGAATGAATGGAATGGAATGGAATGGAATGGAATGGAATGGAATGGAATGGAATGGAATGGAATGGAATGGGATGAATGAATGAATGAATTAATGAATGAATGAATTAATGAATGAAGGAATTAATGAATGAATGAATGAATTAATGAATGAATGAATGCATGGATGGATGAATGAATGAATGGATGAATGAATGGATGAATGAATGAATGAATGACTGGATGGATGGATGGATGGATGGATGGAAGCACGCCAGCAAGCAAGCAAGCAAGCAAACAAACATACGAAACAAAGCAACTAATATATTTTCTTTTGCTGAGGGTCACGTGGCCAGTACCATTTGGGTGCTGCTCAAAACGAGGGAGCAATCGAAATACCTGACACACTCAACAAGGGAACCAAGGCGCTGTATTGTATTTCGTGGCTCTGGCACAAGTCTTCGTCCATGGTTCCCACTGACTTTCTCCAAGGTTATGTTGCGGCTGGCCTTGCTAGAACCTTAGATGCCTCGAACTGCAAGACAATGGGTGTGTCCACAATGGGACCCCTTTGCAGCTTGGTGTTGGCATTCTTTTCCGACACAGCCAAGCGGCGGTCAAGTTCAGTTGTTCGACACACTTTCGCTTTTCCCTTCCTGCAGCCTGCCCGCAAGGGTCGCCCTGCTGCTGGCCGTTCAGGGGAAGGATGCCGTGGGATTTGCGGAGAATCTACAAAAGTGCTTGGAAACAAAAGGGACGATAATGCCCCCGCACGAGGCATGAAACACCAGCCATAGCAGTGTTTGGTAGTGGCTAAATGGCAGACTACTCCCTGTTGGACTTCCTTCTATCGCGAGAATCTTTTCGCGTCGCAGGATGTCCACCGAACCC